ACAAAGTGGTTTAATGGATAATCTTGTAGTATATTTATAGTGTATTACTTTAAAATAAGTTCCTAAGATTTTAGGAGACAGTATAAATTTTGTCTTAAAAATGCACTGTACAACAATATAGATGTTAAGTTTGAAAATATTTAGACTCTAAGTATACGTAAAAGAGGTTCATAAGCCAAAATAGAATTCTATCAGTGTATTTTTGTTTTCTATACAGTAGAGATGTCACGAGTTCGCTATTCGGCCTATTCGGCTACTTTTCGGTATTCGGCCGAATATTGCAAACTATTCGTCCGAATACCGAATACCAGATGGTAATGAAAAAAACGAATAAAAACAGATTACATATGATAATGTTTTTTTTTTTTTTAAATGAGTGGCATATTTGATACTTAAAATCTATAGGATGTAAGTTATGATAAAAATATTTTCATTCTTTGATGATAGCAAATGAATGCGCTTTTTCTCGTAAACTAAACATACTTCCACAAATAGCATTCGCTGTGTAAAGTGTCACCGGCAAATAATAAAAGAATTTCAGCAAGTTTTGTTAAGAAAATGAATTGCGTTTTCTGACCACAAATTGTAAGGGTTTCTTGTTCAATTTAAGCAAACAGTTTTATGTAAAAAACTAATTTCATTTGCAGTTTGATTTTTTCTTTTCCACTTCTTCATATGTGTTCATATTTTTTGCAGATATCGGTTTAATTGTTTTCATTTCTTTTTCATACGAAGACTTCCTAAGAATACTTCAATTAAAATAAATATATTAAAAGTATTCAAAAACTTTATCTCCAGTTCGTCAAAGTGGAGATTATAATTATTATTTTTATTATTACTATTAACATTTATTTCGTCATTTATAAACTTTTTTTTTTTTTTAACTTAGAAATAAAAAAATTTGTTTGTGTTTGTTATTTTAAGTAAATACTGTTTAACTATATTTTTAAAGCAATTTATTAAAGTTATACTTTTCTTATTTTCATCAGGAACTATTTTCCATAGACGAGATCATCTATATGAAATTGAATAATCGGATGTTTTGAGTTGACTCACGAGTTGAATTACGAGAGAAAACAAGGATAGTTATTAAAACATGATAAGCATAAAATAAGATTGCTAAAGGGTCAGGTTTTATAGCAGGGGTTCAACGGAATAAAAACCAGGTTTGTCTACCTCCATTATAGCAGTGCTATAATGGGGGGAGACTAACTCATTGAGACATTCACATGCGTCTGTGCGGAAAAATTGCGGCAATCGAAACGAATAGGCAATCATCAGTCTGCGCAAAGCATATCTCTAGCTGAAGAAGCTGAGATTGTAACCATATCAAAAAGAAATATTTCAGAACTAACAGTACTGTCTGACTCGAATTGAGTTCGGTTTGTGGCACCGATGATTATGAAGCCCGTAGTGAACGCCATCATTACTCAAAATGAATAGGTGAGGAAAAAAAAATTAACAGACTTAGATGATACTTTTGCTGATGAAAATGTGGTAATTACAAAGTATATTAGAAAGCATTTGAATACACTTAATTTTAATTTTTAAAAGAGTGTACTGTATTTACATCAACTGCATCCTATTACATTTTTTATAAACTATATGCAGATTTTGATGAGAAAGGTTGTAGTTGTAGAACATTAAATACAGAAGTTTTGTATTGCAGTACGAGACCACTACAAATTCTCTGTTCTTCGAGAGTAGTTAAGTCGAGCATTTTTAGTCTTTGGTTGTAACAAATATTGCGCGTTTTTAGACACATTTTATTCGAGAAAATTCTGATTTGAGATGGGATGACCATGCTTGCACACAAAACTCTTGATGCGGTTTAATGTATAGTTGGTTATAACGTTTTAAGACAAGCAAACATTCGATTCCCAATCTAAGCCATTGTTTCTACTTGCACTTTAACTTGAAGGTTGTTGGATATTAGTACTTCAAGGTTATGCTCAATGCACGTTAGAATTAGATTGCGTTTGTTACCGTAAATACCAGCCATGTTGTTAATATTGTAAATTACTTTTATAACAACCAAGTTGCATTAATAAATTTGCACTTTTCCACGTTGAAATTTACAAGCAAGTTGTCAATATCAACCAATACGAGGCGCTCTTTATGTTTGCTTGCAGTTTTTTATACTTAGAGGAAAATTGATTCTTGGCATATAGTTAGGTATGGTTATACCTAATGGCATTCTTTAAGTAAGGCTATGGTTATAAATGTATTCTGGTAAGTCATTGACAAAGAACACAAGTAGCACTAGTGCAAGAACTAATTCTTGAGGACGCCACTAACCACCTTTTTTTACTCAGATGTTATTCTTCAAATAGTGATCATTGTTGCTAATCTGCTAGCCAACCATTTATCTAGACAAACCGCTGGAACTAATCAAAAATTGAAAATTCTTTTAAGCCTCCTAAACCATCTTTGTAATTTATCAATTTATGCTAAAACAACACCAATCAAGAAAAAATTTTAAAGAAAGATAAAAGTCTTTTGTTGAGATTTTGAAGTTCTTTGGGAGTCGTTAAACTTTAGGTAATAAAGTGAACTTTTACAAAAAAAAGTTTTTTTTAAAGTTTATTGATTGGTACGAACCAACAATAACAAAAAAATGCAGTCTCTTTTATATTGAAGATATCAAAGTAGAGGCACAACCTTTTCTGAACAAAATATTTTATTAAGATTAAGTAAGATGAAACATTTTATTAAGATTTTAGTAAGATATAGTGTTTTAGGTTAATTTCGAAAAAAAAAGTTAATTTGAATTTCATACACATAAATCATAGCAATTATGCTTTTGCCTTTTTCTCTCGGCGTTACTGATTACAAAGTAATGTTTCAATAAAAAAAAGTATTATAATTATAATTTTAAAAATATAGTTTCAATTTTCAAGTCAGAATAATATTCTGATTTATAATACTTTTTTTATTAAAACATTA